TCTCTTTCTCTTTCTCGTTCTTTTTCTCTTTCTCTCTCTCTCTCTCGCCCTCTCTCTCTCTCTCTTGCCCTCTCTCTCTCTCTGTGTATGTGTGTGTGTGTGTGTGTGTGTGTGTGTGTGTGTGTGTGTGTGTGTGTGTCCTTACAACCGTATCAATGTTAGGCTCCTATTCTTTCTTTTCTGTGTCTTCAATCTTCGTGTAGTACTTCTAGACGTCAAAAATGTTATCTTCTATTTTTTCAAGAATTCCTCTGCTTTTGACGTATGGAAGCCACGTGTGGTGCTACTCTCCCTCTCTCTCTCTCTCTCTCTCTCTCCCTCTCTCTTCCTCCCTCTCTCCCCCTCTCTTCCTCCCTCTCTTAACAGAGATGGCAAAACCGCTTGTTGCATGTAAACTTGAGAAGAAACTAATTCAGAATTATGAAGGATTACTACAAAAATATACAAAAAATCCAAAAAATTATATTCTAAGTAAAAACAAGGGCGGCTGAACATTTCTTTTATAGACGAGTCATGTATTTTCTTTACTTTTGTCCTGAAGGCCTCATCTGCCAACATTCTCAGCCTTCCCGTTTCTTTCACGAATCATGCAACCAAAAAAGAGTACAGGGTACGATGGACCACATTTTAAACCGTTTATCAATTTATGTCTGGTTAGATTATGGTAACGGGGCTATTTTGATCGACTTTGGGGCATAATGAGTGTACATGTATATGCAACAAATGAGGCTTGTATGTATAATGTTTTTTTCTGGCACAGAGCCTGACTAAAGAAAACTGTTATCTTCTTCTTATTGAAGATAGGCAACGAGGTTGTTTTGTTTTTTTCTTCTAAAAGTAAGTGCTTTATACGTCGCGACTGGTTTAAAGTCGTTAGTTTTAGAAGAGGTTTTACGGCACTCGCAACTGCATAAGGTCATATGAGCGCCAGAAGATTAGATGTGTTACAAGAGAGTAACAAACATAAAAAAGAAAAAGGGGAGAGAAAGACGAAATATGTTTGATAGGAAAGAAGAGGCAAACCACATCAGAGCACCTGCCAACCACCCATGCATAAAGTAGATAATTCAACTTTACATTGGGCTTCGACCCTACCTGTCGCGACCAACTCGGCATGAAAGGGATACTACGTCCCCGGAGAAAGACAGAGAAAGGAATCTCCCCCCCCCCCCTATTTTTTTTCTTTCTCGCTTCGAACGTTTAACAGCTACACCAGGGGAAGACTAAATTCTGTCTGATATAGTAATCCTGGGGTTTTTTTAACCATTCCACAGAACTTGCGTCCCCATGTTTTGACCAAACACATAGATTCACTCTCGTGAAGTCCTACCGTTAGCTCGGTTGATGTTATTCTGGCTGTACTATGGGTGGACCTGGTTCCGATCAAAGTTCTTGAACTGTGGTTGCTTAGTGAGTTTTTTAAAACTTCCCATCAATCAAGCCCTATTCTATCACATATGAATGTTTAA